TCATCCATCCCACCGTCCCACGTCCACCCTGTCCCTTTTTCCCGACATGTGGTTTTTATCGAAACTGGGAAACCGTCAAAGCAGCTAAATCGGGTCATTAACTTTCCTTTACATAAGAAGATAAAAAGCACATGCCAAGAAATGTTCTCATTTTTGAAAAGTGGATTTTTTTTCCATTTAAGCTATTCTTTTTCTTTTTTTAATGACTCAACCATCATTGCAATGCTGAGGTGAAGAATCCATATGCTGCCCCAGGAGAAAAAAAAAAAAAAAGAAAAAATTAAAATCGAAAACTCGAAACCAAGGTCCTCGGGCTTCTCAGGAAAGCATGCGCCGTCATCCCAAAAGTCTGAGTTGATTCGAAATGGGGGGTTTTGTCCTCCTTTCCCCACCTTCTGGGAGGATGTGGACCAAGATGGGTGAAAAGCCAAAAGGTACACACCAACAAGGGGGTGGTTACAGCGGCAGAAGTCAGAGGCCCCTGAACAGGACCCCTGGACCCCAACCGGAAATGTACACACACACTTTTGTGCGGACCCGAAACCCGCCCTCTGTTTTCAGCCACGGCTCACTCCCCGCATGCTCCAATCGGACCCCTTGGGGGAAGAGGTGAGAATTTTTTTTTTAACACTTGAATACAAATATTTATAAGTTTATTTATATCTCCGTTTTACAAGATGTACATTCATACTATATGGTTTGACAAAATACACTTTGTCACTAGAACTAAACATGAGGGCATTTTGTGTTACGAACTTGCAAGCATATGGCCCAAAAAAAACAAAACAAATCAAAACAAAAACCCCTCCAGAATGTTTTTTTCCCCCCGCAATAGCAGAGGGAGAGGGGTTTTAAAGACCATCGGTTTGGGATAGCTTGTGTTATTTCATTTCGTTTGAGCAATCCCTGAAAATGTCTGTAGGTCCAGACACACCTTGTATGCATAACCCAAACACTTTTGCCGTGCCGTAAATCATACTGGCTGCTCATAAATTCGGGGAGGAAAAAGGGGGGGTGTGAGAAAAGCAACAGGCTTTAAAAATATAAAAATAAATGCAAGGCAATGTCAAATTTACACTCAACAAAATTAAAATAGCACATATTTATGAACTTTCAACCCAAAGAAAAAATAAATAACACATCCACATACATCCAATATCAAGAAGCAGAGAACCTCGCCTCTGTCTGATGGGACCTCTCCATACAATGGGGGCTCGGTTGTCAAACTACCACCTTTCAATAAATAGCTCACGTCATAGCTTTGAAACTTGATATTTTCTACATTCCTCAACTGATTTCTCATTAAATATCAAATTTCAATAAAACATTTATAAATTGCATCAAGTTTTCACGTGTATTGAAAAATCAGCATATTCCTAAGCTAATTTTTTTTTAATAAATTAGGCACCAGTTTTTCAAATGTCCAAGTTGTCGACTGAGAAGCCCTCCCCCGCCCCGACCTCCCCGAACGTGAAGGAGCAAAGTGCCTCAAAAATTTTCTGTCATTGTAGTCCGCCTCTATAGTCTCCTCTGAGCCCCTCCGTGAGAAACTCCCAGGAAAAGGGGGTCTGTCCTCGCACGACGAGAAGTATTAAAATGTGAGATTGGAAGCCGAGTACGGGAGCGGAGGAGGCTGAGATTTTCTTCCCATCGTCAGCCCAGAGGGAGGGCGGTGCCACGAGCTGGACACCCATGCTGAAGGGGTATCTGCTCTTTCCTGCGGAAACATCCAGACGATCTCCCGCCACCCGCCACGGCACAGACCACAGGTGCTCGTGGCCCAGCAAACGAGCCCATCCCTGAAAGTCAGGCTTGCCAGGAGAGGGGCGCCGCCACGGGGGTGCAGCTTGGACTGGAGTGAGGTGGGGTGGACATTCCGTCCACCGCCATTGGCAGAGCAGGGGGGAGCATCCGAGGCTCGGGAGACCCACCCCCCTCGTGCAGGATGCCGACCCACTCAGGTGGCGGAGTTTGCACCGTCACCAATATATGTCCTGGATCCGCCTGCTGGTCCTGTGAACGCTACGGAAACCCCGTCCGGCCCAGCCCTGTGGTTCAGGGATCGTGAAAAAACCACAGTGAGCGGCATCCCTATCCGGCCAACCACGAAAGGACACCCCTGTTCCCTCAAGAAGGTGTCGTTTCTCTGAATCCTAGCAATTTGGGGAGTGGCTCCCAGGACGCGCGCGCGTCACATGCTTCATCTAGTAAAGCACACCCAGCGCACAACATCCGGAGACTCTGGAACCTTCCCCCAGGACACAATCTGTCGCTGCCTCGCACAACACACAGCGGAAGGAAGGAAAACTCAAATCCGTAAGGAAAGCCTAAAGGGAACGACAACGTCTCACCAGAACTCCGTGTTGCCAAACTGGGGCAATATCCATCCTAAAAGTACTCTTTGGCCAAGGTTTCGGGAAAAAAGAAAAAAAGAAAAAAGAAAAAGAAAAGGCATTCGAAGCTCAACCCATCTCGGCAAATAAAACTCTGAGCTCAGTGCCCATGAAAACCAGCCCACAGCTCGAGCAGCATGCTTGGGCACCCACCTCAGCCTTCGCGGAGGTTTGACTACCCAATACTCTTGCATCCAATGGCGTGAAAACGCAGCCCTCCCCAACACGCTATCTACGTGATGCCACTCACTGAGCCCAACACGCCAGCCCACACACTATGTGGAAGTAACGTGCATGACTTGGAAAGGGGTCTCGTTTTGAGCAGAAAACACCGGCAACAACCCAAAGGCATCCGCCTTGCACGTTTAATTTCTTACGCCCTGCAGAAAAACGAGTCAAAACCACAGCGCACGCGTGCACATGGGTGAGCACGATGCCCTGGCTCTGGGGTGATGAGGACCTGGCGGACCGGGGACGCACACACATCCCGTCCCTGGCGTCCTCTGCATCCCGCAAGAAAGGAAGTGGGACACAGAGCTGCAGTGTGAGGAGTGGACCCCCCCCCCCCAACTCAACTGAGAATCCCATCTGCTTGTCTCTCTCAGACTTTCTGGGAGAAAGAAGAGGCTGCAGTCACGGGCCACGGGTCACGCTTGCAGAGAGTCTCCGCGACTGTGTTCCAGGTGGACCCACGAGGCCAGCCACTCTCCACAGTAAAGCCACCCATACGGTTTGCTGGCTTGGTTCTGTTCTGGGGGGCGTCCCATTTGTGAGGGTTATACCTGGCTCACTTTCCATGTTAAATCAGACAAAAGAAAGCAAAAAAAAAAAAAAGGCAAAAACAAGCATCAGGTGTCCCCCATCCAGCAGGGCTCATGATACCAGCCTCCCAGCAGGGTCAGGAGCATGCAGCTCTATGTTAAGACTTCATATTCTGCCAGGATCCTACCCCGTGTCTTTCTGCTCACGCACAGTGAGTTTTCTGTTGGGGAGGGAGTGGTTATGAGGACTTTGTTCAGATAAAAAAAATTATTATAAGCTTTTTTGGAAAAAAAAAAAGTAAGGATGTACACATTTTACCTGCAACCTTTGCCAAGTGTTAAATTTTAGGACGAATGCCACTAGCTTTAAAGGGTTTGAAATGCATTGTTTGCATTTAAAGGAAAATTCCAGCTTATTTATAGGACCTTCTTCTTCTTTTTTTTTTTTAACTCACAGCTGTTTAGAAGCAAGACTGCACATACGAGCTAACTCTATAATGCCATTAATGTCTGGGGGGGGGGGGAAGTTGCAAGCGATTTAAAAATCCTGACCGTGCTTTCTTCTTCTCTCTCTGTCATTTTAGAGCTTTACTGAAATTTCCAAAAAATAAAAATTAAAAAAAATTTTAAAAAGCTGAAGGGGCCTTTTGATTTGTATTAAGAGTTTCAGATGACAGAAATGAGACATGTCCAAATGCATCCACAGTTCAGCTCCGTGAAAAGGTAGAAAATGTTCCCTTACATGGAAGGAAAAAAAAATTATTTTTTTCCTTGGAAAAATATACCAAAGTTCAGGGGTAAAGGAAAGAACATCGCCAACACCAAATCTGGAAAGGTCAAAAGCTGTTTTGGAATGAGAGTGAATAACCGGAGAAGTTCAGGAAACGCTAGGGGATGGCCAGTGAGGTGCTGGTGGGAATGATGGAGGAAGCGGCTTCCGTTTTCTGGGCAGGCCTGGGTGACTAAGGCAAAAACACAGGCGTAGTATCTTCAAGGTAGACCAGCCCAGCACTGCGGCTCGGCGCCCCCCTTCCCCTACACTACATGCAGAGCACATTGCCCCCAACTCGGGGCATCACTGGGGACCCTCACGCTTTGGTTCTGTCGTTTCCAGCGAGGTTCCCACTCCATACCAACTTCTAGAAAATAATTTACTATTTGGTGCTTTCACAATCGGTGGGGGCCGTGGAGAGGGGTGCGGGGAGGACGCAGGGAGAAAGAAGAAATCAAACCTGGAACGGACTAACCGCTACAAAACGTGAGCTTAAAACTCACGGCCTGGAGGACGTGTGTTAGCCTCTTTTCCCAGAAACATCTCAGCCGCAGGCTTCACATCCTGGCTTTCCCCCCCACCCCACCCCCGGCCCCCGGGGGTCCTGCTTTATCACATGCCACACACCTCAACTCCTCCAGATCCAGAGCACACTACACCCCACCCCCCATCATTTTGGCGATGGGCCCCAGTCGGCCAGGCCCGCAGCATGCAGGAGAAGGTAATGCCCTTACAAGTCCGAAGCTGACGGGGTCAAGAGTGCACGGCTATTTTTTTTTTTTTTAAATCTATAACATTTACAGTATTGCACTTTACTGCACTTAATTGCATTTCACTAAACTTAATGCTGCATCAGTATTATACCTTAAAACCACGCGCCCCGGGTCTCTATGCAAGTTATTTGCGTCTGAATTCTGTAAAACAGCCCCCCCCCCCCAAAAAAGTCAATTCGGGAATCAAACACTGGAAAAGTTATAAAGTCGCCTGCTCTATGGCACAAGAAGGAATCCTAAACTCGGTGCTTTGGGGGCCAAACGTGTGCATGAAAACCGTGCTCGTAATCCAGGTCCCCTCTAAAAAAATACGGTGACAACGTGGGAGATTGGGGTCTCCCCGACCCCCTCCCCACCTTGTCCCGAGGTCGGCAGATGCATTTCCTTATTGCTGCAGAGCACGGGCCCCTAATCTGGCAGGGGGAAGTCCACGTTGCAATCCATTCCCATCCCGCACCTCCTCCTCCTCGGATGAAAACAACTTCGTGGCAGCGCGTAAAACTGTTAGCGACCAAGAATTGGCATCTTCGGCGGAGACCAGCCCCAGATCTTCTTGCGTAATCGACTCTATGATCTTCGAAAGGTGTGTAAGGGGCCGCATGCACGGGGTAGGAACGCTGGCCACAGAGGAGGGCGCGCGGGGCTCCACGTGGCCGAGGGTCCCGGGACGCACAGACCGCGGGCCGAGGGTCCCGGGACGCACAGACCGCGGGCCGAGGGCTGCGTCAGCTGGTCTGGCCGTCACCTGCTCTCTTCCGCAGTCTCTGCGAGCGTCTGCAGGGGTCGTGAGGTCCCGGGAGGCCCCCCCCTGGGCCGGTGGTGGGCCCCGGGAAGCCCCAGGCGGGGAGGCCGCTGCGCCAGGGCCCGCGCCCTCGCTCCAAGCCGTCGGCGCGGCCTTCGCGGGGCGCGCAGGATTCGAGCGCCGGACGCAGCGCGGGCGGGCTCGTGGGGGCCGGCGGGCGGCGGGTCAGAGCCCCAGGGCCTCGGCGTGCTTGCGCGCCTTGAGCCGCAGGTCGGCGATGCTGGAGTTCTTGCTGTTGCTCTTGGCGGCGGCGGCCACGACAGCCGCGGCCGAGGCCGACTCGGCCAGCGACGCGATGGGCAGCCCGAAGGGCGGCGGCGGGAACATCAGGTAGGGCGCGTGCGCCGCCAGGTGCGGATGCAGGTGCGGGTGCGCATGCGCCACGCCTTCCAGCTGCAGCTGCGCCTGGACCTGGGAGGGCAGACTTGGCACGTTAGGACGGCTGAGCAGCTGGGCTTTCCCGCCCGGCGGAGCCCTGGGAGCCCCCTTCCCGCACCCCGCGGACCACCACCCAGCCTCCAGCAGCCAGGGCAGTCGGAACTGTCCTCTGGACACCCGTGAACGCCGGGGCCCCTGACTGCCGTGCGCAAGGAGAGCTGCAGAATGCGAACAGACCTCACACCCGCCCACCCCTGGGGCGCCCACACCCGTGTGCTCGGCAGCATCCCCTCCTCACGAAAGCCTCATTTCCCTGAACTTGTGACATGTCCCCCAGTCGGGCTCTGGGCTCCTCTTTACTACCCCCTCCCAGGGGCGTCTCTGAGTCCATGAGGAGCATGGCGACAGGTCCGTGCTCCAAGGGCCGAATTTCAGCAAAGACCCCATGGCTGACCCCAAGTCGGGGCAGCAGTTCCGTAATGCAGAGAGACGGCCCCTCCTTGGGGAAAGGATGGAGCGGGGGCGGGGACGGAAGATGGGCCCCGCGAGCGGAGTGGGCGAGGCCAAATGAGAGGGACCCTGCGCATGCCCTGGACGCCCTTAACCGCTTTGGGCACCTTGAGTCCAAGAGCACAAGGCTCGAGCACCCACTCTAAGTCTCGGGTGTCTATTCATTGACCCCACCACCACCACCCATGCCCTAGCTGAGCCGCAGAGGCCCCTAGCAAACACGGATCCAAATATAAACCCAGGCCTGATCCTTGGAGCAAAACCGCTCGGTGCGGTGGTGGCCACGCCTCGGCTCCCCCCAGAGCACCCCTGCTCCCCCGGCGTATGCGCTCTACGTCCCCCAACGTTGGGGCCCCAACGGGAGCACCCCCAAGTCCTGCGCTGGGGCGAGGCAGAGAACGCGTGAGCTCTGCGCTCTCACCCTGGGCCTCCCCCACGCAGCTTCCACCATCCACCAGGAGCTGGCCCCAAGCAGGGTGCAGCCCTGGGGCCTTCTGACACCCTAGCCACCCCACGTCCACGCAGAGCAGCTTTGCGCACGGGGATCCTGAGATCCTGAGCCCCAGGATCCCAGCTCTGAGTTGGAGAGCGAGGCCCAGCTACAGCGGGGTGCACACACCTCCCCTTGAGGCCATGGGGCAGGCCAGCTGGGGTTTGGGTATACACGCAGGGCCTCACACCCAAGTGCGAGAATCCCCGCCCCTCCATTCCCAACCAGGCAGCCTGGGTGGGTGGGATTTTTTTTTTTTTTTTTTCTCACTCCGGTTTTTGTAAAATTGTGTTTGGGTTTCTCTCCTGGCCCTCCCAAAGGTGAGTCTTAGAGTTTTACAGCGTGATTTTAATACGTGCCAACGGGTCTATAAATGCCCCCTTGTAAAGGCGGCAGCCTTTCTTCCGCGGGGGCGGGAGCAGCCGGGGGAAGCAGGACGCCAGGGAGGCGGGGAGGTGGCGGCCCCCGCGCGCAGCTCACAAGGAAGAAAAACGGGCTACCTGTTGGAAAGGCATTCGCAGGGCGCCCATGTTGACGTAGGGCGCCACCCTGCAGGCGTCCAGGTGGCTGGCGGTGCCCAGGATAACGCCTGCAAGGGAAGAAAGGAGCCATGAAGCCCGCCAGGGTCCTCTGCGCACCCCGGCGGCCGCTGCACGCGCTGCCCACCTCCACTGTCAGCCTCCGCACCACCCACCTTTATGCATCTGGTTCTCCTGCTTGCGGCACTTGGCTCGTCGGTTCTGGAACCAAACCTGAGGACAGAGCAGACAGACGCGCGCAGCCCCGTGAGCCTGCCGGCCTCCTCCGAAGCTGGGGCTTCTCGCCCCCACGAGGGCAGGCGCGGCGGCGCGGGGGGCGCGCGCGGTTCCCAAGGCGCCAAGGCGCAGAGGCTGGTGCGACTCAGGGCGCAATAGAGCCCTCTCCCGCGCCCCCTCCTTTCCCAACCCAGCCCCACCATACCTGGCGACCTAGAGCTGGGAATTCCCAAACTCACTTCTGGGACCTGTCTGTTCCCCAAGGTGAGCCTCAACATCCACATCGAGTGAAGGAGTGCAGGGCGCATTCGAGAACTTTCCATGATCAGTGTGGGCATTCCCTGCTCCACTCTGCCAGCCCCTGGGAGAGCCTGACCTTCCCCTCTGAAACCTTAGCCGCCAACGAAGGGGGCACACAGGCTGATAAGTAGCTTCAACTGCAACCTCTTCCCCAGTCGAACTCGGGACATCCCGGCTCCAGAAACTTCCATGCCCTCCTTGGAAGCCTGGAGGGTCCCCGTTAATATTAAGGAGACATGAACATCCTGGATCCAGAAAGGCGGGGGCACGCCCATAATTTCAGGCACCAGCTTCTCTAAAAAAAAAAAAAAAAATCTAATTCTTGGAGAAAGGATATCTGTGCGACCCTCCCCAGTTCAGCTAGATGCACAGGTCTGATGTCAAAATTTGGGTGCACAGGATTTCACCCCCCAAAAAGCCTCCTCCCTGCTCCCCAAGGTCACACACTCCCTCTCTCCTCCAGACAGCTCTGGTCCTTGGACACCGTTGCCCTCTGGCTCTGCCTGACGAAATCTGGAGGCCCCTCCCTCCAAATTCTTAGCCACTGAATTTTCCCTAACGTTTTCTCCTCCGGAAGCTCTCCTGCCACTCTCACTGACCTTCTTGGCCGAGATGGTGGTGAGTGACCACGCGGAATAATTGGCACAAAGAAACCCTTCCCTTGGGCTACTCTGCCCGGGTGCCTGAGGACCCACTGCTCCAAGCAGGGCGGGGGGCTGTCCCCCCTCCAGACCCCCACCACGCACGGGGAGACCGCGGCACACCCGGGAGACTGGAAACCTTCACTTTTCCTTCCCAGACTCTTAAGAGGAGGCTTTTAATCCACAGCTGAGCCATCACCCGCCTGGAGAACTGGCTTTCCAGAAGGTTCCAAAGCTCATGCCAACGGGCTACAGGGAGCTTGGAAAAGTTTAAGCTTCTTCCCCTGAAAAGTAATCCCCAAATTGTCACCCCTCTCCCTCTGCACCCGAGTCCAAGTCCACAAACCTTCCCTTGCATTTGCAAAGCCTGCACTGACATTCCTCCTCTCCTCCCCACACACACAACAAGCCTCCACCTCCACCTCCCCCCCCCCCCCCCCCCGGCATCACCACCACCCCTGGTCGAACTGGACCCCTTTGGACCCGGTCCTGAGCTCCTCCCTCTCCTCGGGGTCGGACCCAGTCCTCAGGAGAGCAAACTCTGCGCCCTGGAAGGGCATTTTTCAAAAACAGAATCCTCTTGAAATCTGGCAAGCAAAGCTCACTTTCCTTTCAGCGCCGTCGTGTGGTGGGGGTGTGGGGGGTTGGGGGGGCAATGCGATTATGAAGAATAAAAGTGATGAATTAGCCAGTGCGCGAAGCGATAATAAATCAGTCTTGGGGTGATTCACGATCAATTCCAATTAGTCCTGAATATGCTAAGTAAAGTGCACTACACTGGTTAAGCGGTTATATCTTCATTAAGGGCCACTCACTGATTTCTTTCACAAATGGTGTAATCTGATTTCTTTTTGATTTCCATTACAGACAGTGAATAATGACATTTAATTTAGCTCTGCGCCATAAACCCAAAGATATTTGTTGTAATTAAATTACCTCGTGCTCCTCACTGTGGTCTCATAACTTTCCATTATAACCCTGACAGCTGCGTGATATGAGGTGCCACGGTGACAGTAAAAATAAAAGGTTAATAAGGACCAGTTTCCATAGGATCCCCAATTTATTTACAGCAAATTTCCACACTAAATTGAAACTCTATCCTTTAACAACACGGGACGGGATTACCGAACACTTCGGAGACAGGAATAAACCAGAGTCCCTTCTTGCCCCCCTGCTCCCGCCACCCCCACCCCAGACCTCCGCACCTTCTGCGGGATGACCCATTCGTTTTAACTAATTGATTTTTATGAGCCCGTCTGCCGCCCCTTTACCCTGCGATTCTCGTCCCCGTGGCCAAAACAAAATGATTTCTTCTATTTTATTCCCATGTTTGTTTTTATTATTATTTACAGTCATTAAATTTTAATTCACCTCTGGATGGATATAGCCACTCACATCTCTCTCCCCCACCCCCGTCCTCACCCCCCCCCCTTTATATTTTAGGGCTTTCTCAAGATCTGCAAGCACCCAAGAACCAATTTCCTGCCACTCCGTCCCTCCTGCTAAGGTGTTACTCCGTAATAGACTGCTGAAAGAAATAGTGTAGAATTAAATTAGAAGTAATTTATTTTTATAGAAACAGTACATCAAGGCCTGGGAGATATTACAGATCCCAGGCAGAAAGACACCGGGAAGATGACATAAAAGTTGATGTCCCCTTCAGCGAAAGTTTAATCTTTTCATTAATTTATACGGTGCAGCCCCATCCATCTTCCCCGAGAAGGGTGGCCAGCAGGAAAAGACACCCTCAGCCTTAGCCACCTCTCTTCGCTGGGGCCACAGATGAGCTAACCGCCTGGACCCTCAGGGAAGAGGTTGGCCGGGGCTACTCTGAGGGCGCGGGGAGGGGGGGGTCCCACCTTGCAGCGAGATTCTGTGTCCACTGCTTCTGCGGACAAGAGCTGAACAAGGCTGAGGAATATTGCATTTCAAGCTAAGAAAGCCTATTATTTATGGCAGCCGCTTGGGAGATGGAAAGGGGGCTGGGATCAAAAAAAATTGTTTTTCAAATTAAAAATTTCGTAAAACACTATCTATAACACACGTTTGTGTTTTCGTTTCCTAAGTCAACTGGGGGCGGGGGGAGTGGTGTTTGAATGTGTTGATCTTCTAAGCAGCGGGGAAACCCAGGCCTTCAAAGCGCTGGGATTTTCACGGCCACCCCCCTCCCCGCTTGACAATATTAATTCCGTTTATTTAAAACCGGTCCCCAGAGCCCGGGGATGCTGACCCCCTTTCCTTCTTTCCCTGGCGCTTCTATCCTACTCCGAGCCTTGAGGAGGGAGCTTCCAGGCCCGACCTCCCAGGCGGGGTCTGCACCATCCCGGAGGAAGCGAGCTGGAAGCCGATCTTTGCCACCCATTAATGCATTAATAAATTTAAGGGAACGTTCCTCATGCCCGGGAAAGGCTTGCCAGAGCGTCCCTTCCGCGCACGTGCTGTGCACGCCCAGGGCCCCCCGCCGACAGTGGCTTGCCAGATGGGGCATCATGAATTCATGCGCCCGCGCCCCCCCCCCCCCCGCCCCGCGCCCCGCGCGCCCAGGCTAATCCGGCCCCGCGCGGGCTGCAGCCGCGCTCATCAAGATGCCCAGTGTGCGCGCCTCCCCCCACCTCGTCCCTCGCCTCCCCTCCCTGGAGTGGGAGGGAGGGGGCTGAGGGCCGCGGCACCGAGGAGGAGAGGAACAGAACCAGTGGAAAGAGGTGAAGAGGCGTCCCAGTTCCCCACCACCTGGACGTGGAGGGCGGCCCGCTCAGGCAGGGCAGTCGCCCTTCGTACGAGCCGTGCGACCCGCCTGCGAGGGCCGCACCCGAAAGGCCCGGCGCGCCAGCCCGCTCCCAGTCTCCCCGCGCTCCGGGAAGGGGCCTGCAGCCGGGGCCGAGCTGCCGCGCTCGCTCGGGGGTCCCGGCGAGGCCCGGGTGGCGGGGGCCGGCCCCGCGCGCTCCTACCTGTACACGCGCCTCCGAGAGCCCCAGGCGCTGGCTGAGCTCCTCGCGCATGAAGGCGTCAGGGTAGTGGGTCTCGTCGAAGAGCCGCTCCAGCTCATTGAGCTGCTCGAGCGTGAAGTTGGTGCGACTACGCCTCTGTTTCAGCTTCGTCTGGCCGTCTTCGTCCTCCGACTTCACGTCCTCGCGCTTCTCCTTGCACTCGTAGATACCTGCGGGCGGGCCGAGGGCACAGGGCTGAGGGCGCAGGGCTCCCCCGGCGCGCCCTGCCCGTCCCTGCCTGCCAGGGCCCGCGGGGCCGTGCGCCCGAGACAGGGGCCCGCGGTGCGGGCTTTTGTGCCGCGCGGCTAAAATCGAAGTGTGTGCCTGCGGAGCAAGGGGCCCCGGCGGCAAAGGCGCCCTGACGGGGGGCGCTGCGTCAGGTCGATAAAGCGGACTCCACGGAACACACGCTCTTTGGTAATAACTCGGGCATTGGCGGCGCCGTGTTTCTTGGCCTAGTCTTGCCATGGCTTCCTTAATTTTTCCACTTTGTCTCTTGACATATTGACATACCCTAACTTTCTCCCCCCGCCCAGCCCCGCCTCTCCGGAGTGGGGTGTTAAATATTATTTTAAGTCCAAGAAGTTTGGGCAGAGTGGCCCGAGTGTCGGCCCCGCGGAGGGTGTGCGGCGGGCCCAGGCCACGCTGGGGTCCAGGCCCGGGAACCCTGCTGCCCCCCGCTGCTAGGCAGCGGGACAGGGGCCGCACCAGGCGGGTCGGATCCTTCCTCGGAGGAGGCCGAGGAGCTGAGCGCACGCGGCCCCCACCCTGGTCTCTTCTTCAGACTCCAAGAGCAAAACTCCTATCCTAGCACAGCATGGTGTCTGGGGGGAGGTGCAATGGGACAAGACACCCTCTGCTTGCAGTCTCTCTCTGTTGCACATATATTCACACGCGGTGCAGCACACATCCCACCAGGGCACCGACAGTGGTACTTTCTTAGTCCAAAAACGATGATAGCATCTCTATTTCCTGGCGGGAGGGGGCTCCAGCATCGGGTAAGAAGCTGCACCTCCCCGGCGCCTGGGTCTCCCGCTGCTTTCTCTGCATCAGGGAACCTACTGGACACAGGCACAGAGCATCTCTGCGCCCTAATTAGATGTCCCCTGCTGTCAAGAAGACGCCAGCCTTCAGGAGGCTCTAGCCAAAGAGCCCCCAGGTCTGAAGCAGAGAAGGGGTCTGCATGACTCAGCCCAGAAACTTACCAAGAGGGAAAGACCGAAAGCGGCTGTGGGGAGAGGGGTAATCCTGCTCCCCTGCTCCCCCAGTCAGGATCCCTGAGCTGGACACCAGAAGCTCAGTCCTGAGTCTGCCTCCTGAGCAGCATCGGGACCCCTGAGCATGGGGCACTTAACCCCAGCTTGGATTTTTAAATTCCCTTCCACCTCCTGAAAGCATCGCATTTCCAAAAACACCCCATTTCTTCCCAGTCGTAAATCCTGTCCTAGAGGCGCCCCCCCCCCCACTCTTCCTTCCTCCCTGTCTCTGAAGTCTGACCCCAGGGATTGATCCCAGCTGAGAAGCTGGCCTTCAAAGTCCTTAAGAACCCGCGGCAGGCTTTGCAAAATCCACAGTCCCTTCCTCGGCAACGCGGGACCCACTGTGCAGGAGCCTAAGACCTCCGGGTTTCTGCTGGAACCCCAAGATCTCCCACACTTCCATCTGGCTCCCATCTTACCAATACAGCCTGGGGTTCAGCCCTGCAAGGGGTCTGTACACCCAGCCGAAGGGGGGAAAGGCACAGCTGAGAGGCAACCCTGTTCTGTTCTCTCCTTTTTCAAAGGCCTTGACTGCACTGCACTCTCTTTCCGAGGCCCCCTTTTCCGGGGTCCGCTGCCTCAGCAATCAGGCTGAAAGGAGGCAGGCGGGACAAGGAGGGGCCCGACCTCTAGGAAGGACTTGGGGGGAACTGGTCAGGAGCCATGGAGGTCAGCCCTGGGTGCTGTCATGTAGAACTTCAGTGTAGGCCCTGAGTCGCACCCAGCTGACAGCTGTGTCTTCATTAAAGCCAACTCTGTATGAATTATAGAGTCAGGGGTACCCGGCAGTGCCCAAGGGGGGCACCCTGAGGTAAGACAGGTCCGGCCCAGGCCACCTGGGCGGCCAGCGGTCAGGGGCGGATCTGTAAGCCTCTGGCAGCTTGCTGCTTCCACGGGTCAAGGCCTCTGAAAGACATCTGGGTCATCGGCAACGTTTCAAGGCCATGGCCCAGGACTCTGCCACTCGGAGACCCCAAGTGTAGGGTCCCAAAGAGCAGGAGACGTGGGCTTCCTGAGTCGGGGGAGGTGTGGGGGGGGCGGAGGTCTACTTGTAGGGGGACCATCACGCTGACAGCGAGTGGAACAGGGCCGGCGGAGGCGAATGGTAAGCCTCTGTATTTCCTCTTTGTAATGAAAAATAGACATTCCGAGCAGTTTCAAACTGTGCCCCCTGAGAAATCCAGCCCATTTTATGCCTCTGATTTACCGCTGCTGGTTGCCCTGTTTGCTCATAGATCCCCGGAGTTGGGATAACCCCTGCCCAGCTGGGAGAGCCCCCATAAACTTGCCGTGTCCCCCCCGCCCCATTCAGCAACAGGGCGAACCGCGGCGAACGTTATCTGGAAGGGAAGGAGGCCCAGGCCCAGGACGCGCCGTCCACCCGCCGCAGGGCCGGCTTCTGACAGCCTGGGGTCGGAGCGGCCGCGCGCGCCCCGCCACGAGCTTCCCAGGGCCCCTCACTTCGCGTCCAGACCCTGGCCACCTGCGGGCGCGGGAGTGGTTTTAATTTAGAGGCCCGCGTCAGCCCAGATCAAGTCTCAAGGTTCAAGGGGAAAGTTTTCCCTAAGAGGAAAACAGCGCGGAGAGGATTCGGCAGGCAGGAGCGGAGACTGCGAGCCTTAGCTCCGGGCCCACCGGCCAGCTCGTCCTCAACGCCTGCCCGTTTCAAAGGCTCGGGACGCGGGGAGGGGGTGGGCGCTGCGAGAGATGCGTGTGGATCTCTCCTCGCGCGCTCTGGGGAGTCGACTCAGGCAGGCCGGCAGACAGGCAACGCGCCCAACAGCGCCTGCAGCCGACCTCGGTTTTCAGGCACATCCGCCCGATGGACCCCAACCCGGGAAAGTTCCCGCTGCGACGTCCGGTGCCAACGCCCAGGGGAAGCCAGTCGTCAGGCAGCGCCTGGCCCCAGCCCCTGCTCATCCTCGGCCCCCCCGGCCTCCCTTCCCGTATCCGCGTTTCCTTTCTTTCTTACGCAAAGACTGGCGATGCGTTGCCGGGGCCTTTCCGTCCGAGCGCGGCCGTAAATGCAGAGTTTGGGGTGGAATTCTGAGCGAGCCGCGGCGCCCGGGGCCTCCCCGCGCGCGGAGCGAGGGCCAGGCGGGCAGGCTCGGTGGCGAGGAGACGCGGTCCCCGGGAGGGGCCCGCCGCGGCGTCCGGCGCGAGCTTACCTTCCGCAGCCCTCCCCGTGCCGAACTCTTTCAGTTTGTCCTTGTCGCTGTCCACGTGGTCCTTAAACAGATGCACCGGACAGTGGCCACTGCCCTCGGTAATGTCCTGGAGGCTGGATTCCGAGCTCCCCAGCTCCCGGGAGCGCGCCAGTCCGCTCTCCAAAACTTCCCTGTACGAGATCGAATCCTTCTTGCCGCCGCCGCTACTCTCCTTGCTTTTCTGGTCAAAAGACTTGGATACAAAAGCCGTGAGTTCCTCCATGGCTGCGCGGGGCTGCGGGGTCCGCAGGGCTCGGCGCGGCTGGCTGGGAGCCGGGCTGTGGTCCGCACGCCTCCCCGCGCGGAGACGACTTGTCCGTGCGAGGGCAGATCCTTCCTGCTGTTATTTATGCCTTTCAATTTGAGATCTCACTATTTATACGCGGCCACGTCCGCCCAACCCCCAGCGCTCCCTGTCTGCAGCAATTAGGGCTCCGGGCTCGGCGGCGGGGGCACGCAGAGATGCTATCTCTCCCCCACCTCCAGTCCGGCAATTGGCTTCCTGTTCATTTCATCACTGCTGGGCGTCTGAGCACCTTGGTGCGGAGAGGTAAAGATCCGATTTTTTTGAAGGGAGAGCGCGCGCGCGCGCCAGCAGGCGCAGGCGCCAGCGCCCCAAACAGGTATCCGCATTCGCTCAATGCGTGGCGGAAAGCAAACTCGAGGAGGAGTTTATCGATGGTGAGGTCCTCGCCGGCCCGCGCGGCCAGGAGAACAGCCAGCCCCGCGCCCGGGAACCCGTCTCCGCAAGATGTGTCGGTCCGCGCGCGCGGCAATGCAGGGAGAGACGCCGAGGGGACCCCGGGCGACGGTGACGCGCGATCCACAGACGAGAATCCGCTGCAACGCTGAGATGTGGTTGGATTGCGGGCCGGACCTGGCGGCGCGGCCCGCGGAGCGAGCGGTTGGAACTGGGGTGCGCGGTGTGGCCGGTAAACAGCTCGAGGACCCCGAAAGGGGGAGGAACGGGGCCCGCGCGTACCCGAGCGTGGACGCCGGAACCTCGGCGGCGGCGGCGAAAAGCGGCTCGCAGACCTCGGAGGGGCCGGCGCCGCGGAGGCCGGGGACTGGGGCGCGGCCGGGCCGCGTGCACCCGGAGCGCGGGGGGTCCGGACTCAGAGACGGCCACGGCTGGCGCGGAGAGAGACCTGGTTTGTAAACAGCGGTCCTCTGGGCGCCGAGGCAGCCTTCTCTAGAGCCGTGCAGGGAAGCTGGTGTCTACGATATTTATTTGGGGGGAAATAGAGATATTTCTGGTTGTGCCACGCTTTGCCTCGCGCCTGTTCCAAGGCTGAGAAGGACCCAGTTTCTCAGCGGGTTTACACTCCCGGAAGTCAAGCATGTCATCCTGTCTGCAAATTTCCATCTGCAAATAAAGTTGACTTCCCCCCCTTCCCCTCTTTTATCTGTCAGATCGCCTCGTCTCTCCTCCACCCCCTTCCCCACCCCTCTCACCCCCGCAGGAGTCGGGACCCGGCTCTCGGCGGCGGCGTGCAGGGGAGGGGGGCGCTACTGGTTTTTGGAGGAGCTCGTTTTGCATGTTCGGAAGGCAGTCCCCGCTCGGAGTGTTTGTGAATCGGAGCCCAGGATCGGGCCACCCTCGGCGGTACCCGGCGTTCCGTCCAGCGCGGAACTTCTCCGCCGGCGGGAGGGAAAGGGCACGATTTCTCCGGACATCGTGGGGCCTGCGCCCAGTCACTCGGGGGTGCCTCGGTCTGGGGAGGGGCAAGGGGTGTCCTACCCTCCAGACGCGGGGAGGAGGAGGAGACCGGAGTTGGAGGAGTAGACCTGCTCCTTCCCCGCGACCCTCCCTCCTCCCCTCCCTCTCTGCTTCCTGCCCTCCTGACTTTCCCCCTCCTTCCCCCCATTTCTCCTCCTGTCCCGGCGCCCTCGTCCTTTCTCGGGGAGCTCTGCGCCGGCGCTTCTCCGCGTGGCCCAGGCTGCTCTGCCCGGCGTGCAGCGGGCCCGGAGCTGGGGGATTCAGAGGCCGCCGCCTCCTCCGGACTTCAAAAGCGCGAGGCTTAGAAGCCTTTCCAACTTAACAAACAGGTCTTTGTCACCGCGGCCCTCTAATCAAAGCGGAGGCGCACAGATATCACACAGAATTACAAATAGCCCCTCATGCATTATGCATGCAGCGGGTCGGCGGGGGAAACGTCGAGGGCTTGCACGTCGAGGGCTTGCGCCCCGAGCGCGGTGCGCAGGGCGCATGGGGTGAGGGCGCCGGGCGGCCCCGGAGTTGACAGTCCTCACCCCCGCTGAGCCCCCACCCCCACCCCTGCCACCCCACGGGGTCTGCAGACCCCCCACCCCCCAGCTGAACTCTGTTCCAGGTAGACCGAACAGTGAGGGCCCAGGGAAGCAGAAGAGAGAGACAGAGACAGAGAAGCAGGTTGTGGGGGCGACACTCTGGACCACAGCAACTTTCTCCAGTTGTCCTGGGCAGGGAACTTGTCCTCTTCCCATCTCCCCACTTCAGAGCCCCCTCCCACTCCCACCAACCCCAGGTGGGGAGGCCAGCTCCCCAGGGACCCAGTGCTGGAAACCCTGCCCACCCCTCCCAGAACCTTCCCTGTCCCTTCTCAGCAACCCCCGGGGTCCCCGAGGGCCTGGGCCTTGCAAGGCCTGAGCTTCCTCCGCAGGGAACAGGGGGTTGAGACCCAAACCTTCAGCCCAGGACCCCCTGCAGGGATGCTCCCCACGTCCTACCTCCTCAGGTCCCACCCCTACCTAACAGGGAACCCTGCCCCAACCAGCTTCTGGCAGCCTCCTGCAATCTCCGCGACAGGCACTGGATCGGGACTCTGCATATTCAAGATCCTTAAACTCGAGAAAAACTAAACCTCCTCCCACCCCTCACCGCCCATACACCTCTGCAGCTCCACCTTGGGTGCCCCCTGCACCGCAGACAAATGGGTTCAAAATAACCCTTCGGAAAAGAAACCGAGTCCACGGCTAGCTTCTCTTCTCCACCTGGAAGGCCTTGCCTCTGCTGAGAGCGACTGGCTGTCGCCGTTCTACAAAATCAAACTTTCTGTTGATGAGGAGCCAAGTGGCAACCTCTCTGACTGTTGGGGGCAGTCCCCTGAAACCCACGCCCCTCTCCATCCAGGAGCGCACCAGGCGCCTTGACATATTGCCCCTTCAGAGACAGAGACCCAAACAGCAAAGCGTGGAGTTAGTCCTCCTATTTTCGCCTAGGCAATGAGTGTTCGCACCACATATTTCTGCTAATTCAGGACATGGCCCGAGGCCGCTGGGTGGGCACGCTTTATGAAATGTTACATTTACATTTCCGCTCGGGCGACTGCAGGCGGGAGGGGAGGGTACAGACCCTCCTGGGCTGGCTGGGGCCTCCGCATAAGGGGAGCTTGTCTGAGCTTCTAGAGAGCTTCTCCCAGAAAGAAGGAGCACCAAGAACAGAGGAGAGAACAGACTTCTTAAAATCCTAACGTGTCTTGTGAGAATGTAGATGCTTTCAAGTGTGCAGTGCATTTTTCCCCCCCAAGTCTTAAAGAAGAAACGGTTTCAGGGAAGTTTGTGGATAGAAACGAAAGCCCATCTCTTTCCTTGACAACAACAAAAAAGAAGTCGTGAGGGGGGGCAGGAGGGAGCAGAAGAGGGGGATCTGGTTTCTGGAAGAAAAGAGAAGTTCCGAAGTTTGAGTTCGCCAAATGCTCCGCACACCGCGCGTGCAGCTCGCGCGGGTCCTGGGTTCGCGTCCGGGAGTCTCTGCGCGCCCGCCTCGCGCGCGCCCGCGCGCCCCGCGGCCCAGAAACCCCCGCGGACGCGGGCTGCCCGGGTCGTGAATGCCTGACCCGCTCCTATATGAGCGCTGTTTCCATCCTGTTCCAGCTGCGGAAGCACGAGGAAACAAAACGCAATACAAGTAAATAAAAATGCCAGACCTGGACGAAGGGTCCTGGCCAACCGGGAGGAGGTTGAAGGGTCACTAACACAAGGGTTAGCTCCTGCAGCTTGGAGGCTTGGGCTTCCACCCGTGGTGTCTGTTGGCCCAAGTCCCCGACACTGTCCCATCCGCGCCAGCCTCCCACCCGTGAGCGAGAAGAGAGCGTGGCCACCCCGGGAGCGGGAGCGGTTCTCAGCCCGCCCGCACGCACGAACCCACGGGAGGCCAGCGCCCTCATCCGAGAGTGGGGGCTCCCTCCTCCCTGCTAGCTGCGCACGGGACACGGGAACGGGGTCCACTCCTACCGGATCAGGCCTCCCTGAATTCCAACTACCCCCTACCCGGACGAGCCCGTGGACAGCTCGAAGCCAGGCCTGCAGCGGCTGGAGCCGGACGTGTTGCAGCGCCCACCCCGAGTTTACCCCAGCTCTTCAGCTTCAGGCCAGCCTGGCAGGCTCCCAGCCGGCCTCCCGGCCTGGGCAGGTCTAGAAAGCTCCCCCAAGCCCCTCAGGAGCGGCAGGAAACCGAGCAAACCTGCCTCGCCCTCCGCGTCCCGCTGGCCCAGCACAGTGGTGATGATTGGTTGATGGTGCTGGTGAGGGGGATTTCTCCTCTTCTCAACTCTTTTCCCCAACTGCAGAAAAGAAAGGGGCCACTAGACTTCTTAGCTGTCGTACCCACCAGGGATCCCGATCTGCAAGGCACAGTGCGTAAGCTTGGATGTCCAGCCCGAGCCCCCCAGACACCTAGGAGAAGATGCTGTGGACACAGCTGACCCCGGTACCACGGTGCCATGTGCCACCAGGCCCCTTCTGGGGCATGGCAGGTGCGGACAGACCTCAGGGACAGACTAAAGACAGCCGGAGAACAGGGACATGGGCATTTTCCGATTTTACCAAACGATCTTGCTGTGCGCCAGATAGGTTCATTTTAATAAGTGGACGGTGCTGTTTACGGCTCTCTCCTGTTCTCTTACACTTACAATGCCAGGGGGAAGGAGGTTAGGAATATTCAAATATTTAGTATTTCATTTACTTCCTTCCTAAAAGGAATGGCTTGAATTTTTTCACTTAGAGCCCAGAAAACACAGGTCTTCCCGATCGGAATGTATTTACCTTAAGTCAAACTTCATGCTCTTAGCTCTTAATAGCTGAGCAGCGTTTCGCAGCGTCTAGGGCCCCCACCCCCAGTGGGAGGGCGGGGGACCCCTGGGCAGACCCTCTTCCCCACACCCCGCCACCTCAGGACCCCTGAGGTTCATCCTTGGTTCCCAGGACACGGAGGAAGCATATTTCAAGGAGTGTGTCTTCAGCCTGGCCGGCCTACTTTCTCAGCATGTAATTCGGAAGACAATTTCTATTAATAATAAGAAGGGAGGGGGTGTTAATGGTTTTCGCTGAAGAGCCAGCCTT